AAAAAAAAAAATAAATAAAGAGATATATCATAATTTCAGTGCACAGAAATGATATGGGGGATTAAGAAATGATGCAAGCTGAGTAATTAGAAGTCTTAAAAAATTTAGAGGACAAGGAGGAGATGGAAGATAATAAAATCACACTATTTTAATGATACCATGATTAAGACCTCCTATTTATTAAAACTTAGAATGGTAACTTTAAAGTGAAAAAGTTACCACTAGATGGCAGCAAAGAAAATAATTTCCATTTTAAATGATCCTTGGAAATTAGCAAGTTTTACTTAAATTCTTTTTCAAACAAGAATATATTTTAAGATAAAAGGTATGCTTACTTTGGTGCTTTCTCTGAACCTGAATTAAAGCCTGTAAACAGGGTGATGCTATTACATGGCTTGCATGATGAAATAATGCCACAAATAAGTTGTGACACATAAGGACACTTCATGACTTTTACAGATTCTCACTGACAGATTTTATGGAATTTTTCCATGAACTATTTATTCCATTAGACTCCTGAATTTGAATTGGCTTTTCAAAGAATTTAAAATATCACAGGCCTTTTGGGGTCACTGCTTTTTCGAGGGGGGAATTCTTCTTTTTTTTTTTTTGAGACAGGGTCTCATTTGTCACCCTTGGTAGAGTGCCCTGGTGTCATAGCTCAAAGCACCCTCAAGCTCTTGAACTCAAGAGATTCTCTTGCCTCAGCCTCCTGAGTGGCTGGGACTACAGGCACAATGCCTGGCTATTTTTACAGACAGGTTCTCACTCTGACTCAGGCTGGTTTCAAACCTGTAAACTCAGGCAATCCACCTGCCTCAGCCTCCCAGAGTGCTAGGATTACAGGTGTGAACCACTGTGCCCAGCCTGGGAATTCTTTGTCTGTATTCTCTTTCCATAGAAATTATATGCATTTTTTTAAGTTCAGTAACAAGAGCTCACAGAATTCTTGAACACTGACATCTAGTTACAAAGCCCTATATTATAGTAATTTGAAAAAATACACCATCAAAATTGAAAGCACCTTAGTACTTAAAAAGACAGTTACTGAACAATAAGAAACCTTGTTTGGTGCTATTCTCCAGGGACTGGGAGAAACTAAAAGGTTAAACATTTTATCCTATAAACTTCACAATATAGAACTATTGCAATATTTTGGGCACTGATAATACTAATTTTAACATTTGTTATATTTTATTAATAGTAATAGCTAAACATTATTTAGTGCTTGTTACGAACTAGGCATTGTTCCTAAAGGCATAACAAGTGCTATTTCAATCTTCTTAACCTCTCTGACATAGGAACCATTATCCCAATATTTCAGATGAAAAAACTAAGGCACAGAGAGACTTAATAAGTCACCCAAATCACACATAAAACTATCATTCCTTTGCTTCATTTACATTAGTTCCTTATTACTCTATGTACCCGAATGATATTCTTAGGATTCTAATACCATCTGAGGCAGTTTAGAGCTACTACCCTCATTTTCACCTTCTCTTTCCCATACAGAATTTGGATGCGGAGCCAGTGATAATAGAAGGCTGATAACAGGAAGAAGGGTATAGAAAAGCTAAATTATTTGGCAAGAGCAACTGGAGGGTCTACCATCCAAGTACAGCTATAAAAAGTACTGTGACTTATGGCTGCTTCATTATCCCCACCTCCATCCCAGCCAGGTAATAGAGGACAGATGATCTCACCAAAGTATATTAACTTAATGAAAACAAATTAAAAAGAAAGTTAAAAAAAAATTAAGCTAGGCCAGGCATGGTGGTTCATGCCTATAATCCGAGCACTCTGACAGGCCAAGGTGGATGGATTTCTTGAACTCAGAAGTTCCAGACCAGCCAGAACAAGAGCAAGACTCCATTCTAAAAATAGCTGGGCACTGTGGTGGGCACCTGTAGTCCCAGCTTCTTTGGGAGGCTGAGGCAAGAGGATCACTTGAGCCCAGGATTTTGAGGTTGCTGTGAGGTATGACACTAAGGCACTCTACTGGGGCAAGAAAGTAAGG